GAATGTACGTTCACATGGACAAATACAAAAAGGAAAATCAGGTGCTATGAATTCTCGAACCCTCATAAAACAACCATTTAATTATCGTGATGTTTTAAAAAGTTATATTATTATGATGATAGGATTCCAACGTCTTACTTGTAGATTTGTTGGATCTCAAAATACTTGTTATAGTTTTCTAAAAAAGTAACGCTTGTTAGTTTGGTGGAGGGTGAGATGCAAAAATTTTTTTATTATATAACTTCCATTTTTAATATTATTTTTTTCTGTATGATAATGCTGAGTTCTGTGATTTGTGCGAGCACTATTTTATTGTTAATGTCAATTAATCTCTACAAGTCTGTGTTTTTCTGATGCACATCCTACACAACCTCCACACATTAGCTTAAAAACGAAAATGATAATGCTTTTTTATATTTGGTAAAGTTCATAAACTTTTTAGTGGACGAGAACAAATAGAAAATCTCACTTTTCAAGTTTGCCGGGGCAAAGGTTGAAAATACAAGCGACAAAAAATTAGTTTACACCAATTAGATGCCACAAAGCTGATATGGGCAAACTTTATTGATATTTATGTGTTAAATATAGTGACAAAAAAAATTTTTACGGCAGAGGTTTACTACATAGATTGCTACATTCATGAAACGTGCTAAAGATCAATATTATCAGAAAGCCCAAGCTAGAGAAAAAATCACGTGCGCAATGAGTCATTCTTTACAATACCGGATATAAAAAGTGTGGAATAGTGACAATGTGGTCACATGGTTGCCGGATCATTACTGCTCTCCAGAATTCTTCCTAATACTAATACTAACTTGAGATGCTATCAGTCAGACGACATTTCACGCGATTGACATGTCTACTTTAATAGTTGTGTAGAAATTTTGCTATTCAAATCAAGGGAACTTTTTCATTTATGACTAGTACGCCATGAAAATAACGAGGCTGTTTTCCATTATATGACGGAGTACCATTTTCCGACTTCCACGCCATGCTGGCGAAATTACCGTTCAGGCCAAATAATATAAGCAATGGAAATAGAGCCAATTAAAGATATATGGTAATGTAAAAATCAAAAATACTGATACCATTTTTATTTATAAAACAAAAGTATTGATTAAAAAATATTGCTAATTGAAAAATTTTCTGTAAAAGTTAATATTTTTAGGGAAAAAGAATTATTACTGCTTGATTATGAGGTTTGTTTGTAGATTCAATCTTGAGATCAGGATCACTATTCAATTCTTCAAACCCACATTCAACAAGTTTTTCGGGTTCCTCATCAGAATCTTTATACTACATTATTGATATTATCAAAATAAGCGAATATAATTATGACGAAGGAATTTCTTTTTTAAAAAAAACTTGTTAAATAATAAAAATATATCATACATACCATTATTACCTTAATCTTGGATTTAAGATTTTTCAAGCTTGTTGTTTCTCCACTTTCATTACTACATACTAGGTTTTCATGTTGAAGAACGGCAGCTTTTTTAAGAGCTTCAGAATAATATTTTATTTTTTCTTCGACTCCCATTTCAGCTTCACAGTAAGTTGATGTCATATCATAAATAGAAAAATCTGATTTCAAAAGTCGATAACCATCTGCACATGATTCTATTTTACCATGAATACAATTAGATGAATCAGGACATGGTGTGCAGGCATGATTTTTTAAAAAATCTATCAAATTAACAACAAGTTAATTATGAAATCAAAAATCATATTTTCTTTTTTTCAAAACATAAAACTTAACATTACCATTCTTATCATAACCATTGTCATTACTAATATTATCACAATATCCTGCATAATTTTTAATTCTATGATAAATTAATAGCATCATGAAAATGACCAAGAAAATGTTTTTGATTACTTTATTTCTTTGAGCTCTTTCTGATTCACGTAATACTTTGCGACTTGGTATCCGATTTGTTCGTTTGTTGTAGTGGTTTTTATTAATTTCGGTTCCAAACCAACAATATTTGGGAATATCATAACGTGATTCGCTAAATATATTTCTGTTGATAACTTGTGACGATGAAGAAGCAGTAGTTGGTGTATCTGGAGGAATCGAAAATGATAATGGTGGTTCATTACCATGAATTGGTGGTGGTGATAATTGCAGTGAATCTTCCTGAATTATGGTAGTAGATTGTTCATTCACCTTGATAAATGATGGTGGTGATGATGATTCATTAGTTATAGATGAACCATTGATTTTTTTCGACGGTATTTGTTCTTGATAAGATAAATTTGATACGATTGTTTCGTCACCATCATCATCACCAATGCTTGATGATTCCAAAATAAAATGATTCTCTAATGAAGTCCTGGCAACTGTTTTTGGTGAGTGTTGTTGTAACCTGTTA